GTTTTATCCTCCTCAATGACCTGCTTGGCAGCATCTCATGGGAAACTACCCTGTAGGGCAGAGAGGCCCAGAAGAGTTGGCTGGCGTTCAAGGACAGCTTTCCAGGAGCAGAGGGAGGGGGCACTGCAATGGGCAGAGCTGAGCAAGCGCAGCAAGGCTTGCTGGGATGAACATGGAGCTCCCAACCGGGCTCAGGCACAAGCCAGCCAGGGAGGTGAAAGGCAACAAGAAAGGTTGCCTCGGCTGCCTTGTTTCCCTCCAAGGGTTTCAGAGGCCCAGCAGGCACTACTGATGAAACAAGGACCAGCATTTGAACTCCTCCAGAGTTTCTGGAGCCAACAGCTGCTCACCCCCGTCTCCTCGGGTCTTGTGCTGCCCCATCCATTGAGCGACCACTGGAAAGCAGCTGTCCTCCCGCACGGCGTGCTGCTCTCTGATATGCCAGCGGCACCTGCCTGCTCTGCGGTACGCGTGACACAGCTCACGCAGTAAAAGCAGACACATATGATAACTGCACAGGAGAGGACATAGCTGAGTCAAAGGACATCACTCCTCAGCTCCTAGCCTACCATGGGGCTGGGGAAGCCCCCTCACCTCCTTCTGCCTCTATTTCTGTGCCTGCAAGTGACCTTTATTCACACCTACAAAGCAGAGTTGTATTTACGTGTTGCTTTTCCTAAATACAAAGGCACATTTTCTCCAACTGAGTGAAGTGAAAGCACGGTGAGAAGAGCCCACGCTGTCACTCTCATGTGCAAGGGCCTGCAGAGGCAAACCCCAGGTTTCCCCAGCACCTTTAATCCCATCTGCCAGCCAATCCAAGCTCTGGGTACCACTTTTTATTCTCCACAGGCCCTCATCCACTGCCTGACAACAGCCCATCACAAAGACCAGCCTCCTCTCAAACACCTCCTGCTGTCTCGCCACCTGTACCCCAGCTGTACTCAGCTGTACCCAGCTGTACCCAGCTGTACCCCAGAATTAGCCAGGGAGCCCCTATCATTCTGCATCTGGATTTCAAAGTGAATAAAGAGTTATGTACTTGGTCCAACAAATCTTTTCTATCAGCTCTTTCATGGTCATTTTGTCCCATTCTTCAGCATGCGGACTGTCCCATGGTGCTTCAAGAGGAATCTGGAGACAGAGGCAAAATATTCAAGAAATTATTCAGTACTGTAACATTGCCTGGTCATAGCTAGTTAGTAGCACAGAGTTGATATTGATATGTTGGCCAGGAGTTGCTTTTGTCCCCTGCACATGGCTGTAAATTTGGAATAAATCCACTAAATGGAATAGCTTCCCTGCATACCTTTGGGCATGAATTGTACCATGACCACCAAATCTGGCTTTGTCTGACGAATGAACTACAGCCATATGTTGGGACTCATCTGTCCTTTAGTCACCCAGAAGTGAGGTGTCTGTTCTAATTTAGTTGTCTTGGTGTCCTCTAACACCTGAGGAAAAAATTCTTTCTCTAGTCAGAGATTCAGTCAGTTGCAAGACAGGTATCCAAAGGCCTCTATGTTTCTCTGTTAACTACAGATACTATTAAATTATTTTTAGACAGTTAAATTCTCAATAATAATCCATTGTATCTAAGCACCATGACATGTGAGGACACTATCGTATATTTGAAACTTTAAAAAAGATATATTATTTGACAAAAAAAATGTGTAGTATCATGCACAAATTTGATTCTGCAAAACCACATAAACCCCATGAACTTTGCAGGAATACAGTTAGTTATGCTTGAAGGTTATTGTAAGGTAGGGCCCCTGGTTTGTAGCCAGATTATAAGGCAACTGATAAATATTTGAAAGAGAGCATGATGCCCCTGGGGCTACTTTTTGCACAGAGGAAGATCTGCAGTTGTACTGCTTGAATTTTGAAGGCATTTACTGTTTCAGGATTTTAGAAATAAAATTACTATGAAGCCAAACTGGAGCCCAGCTTAGGCAGCTGCAAAAAAGAACCATCCTTACTCAAAAAGACTGTCACAGGGGAAGGGGAAAAACCCTTCTCATCTCCCAGCTCATAGAACCATTTTCCCTGGCATGAGAAAGTACATACACTGAGGTTTGACCTCATTTTTTTCAGATATCTTAGACACCTCCAGATCTTTTTGTATCCTCTCATAGAATCATAGAATGGTTTGGGTTGGAAGGGACCTTTAAAAGTCATCAGTCCAACTCCCTTTCAGTGAGGAAGCCCTATTATTCCTGATAGCTCCTGGGCAATGTCGATATCTTTCCTGATGGATGTTTCTTCGGTTTTTTTTACATTGAAAAAGCAATAAAAAAAAGTCTCCCAGAAACAAAACCAAACCAGATATACTTATGGTGACATGAGCATTGTAGGAAACAGATGCCATTTATATGGCCTACCTCTTTTCCCAGCTTGTCCACAGTCCTCCAGAAGTTATTGTAATCCAGATAAACTAAAGGATTCCATGTTGAAGGGGAAATACCCGTGAAATAGTATGTCTTTCCCTTTTTTTTTCCCTAAAATATACATAAAACCATAAGCAACTGAAACACAACAGAGCATATCTTCATTACTCAAGAACAGAAAATTCTCAAAGTCATCACATGGTTGACCTTTTGCCTCAAAAGACCTAGCTTTTTTTTTCCCTGCATATGCACATAAGCAATGGAATGCATGAAGATAAGTATGAGGGGAAAAAACAGTTGGGCTGACATTAAAAAGGACAATAACACTTTTTTTTTTCATTCAGAGGGGATGGAGAGGGGCACATTTGTTCTGAGCAGGTTGTCAAATTCTGGGCTAAGGAGACTCAAGCAATGGCCAAGGATGTAATATTCCTTGTTTCTAAGCATTCTTCATTATTCCATATGAATGAATCTAATGTTTGCCTGCCTGCTGAAATGAGCATCCTCAAATTTGCATGGGCCTAAAATTGCGTGCATTTTAAACTTTTAAAATATCTAAGCACCTTTATGGTACACCTCACCTATAAAAAGCAAACGTACTTCTTTATTATGCCAAGTACCTTGGGAGAAACCTAGCCTAAAAAAAAAAAAAAAAAATTATTGCAGGAAGAAAAATTCCCTACCCTTGCAAAAATGGTATCAGTACTTATAACATGTACAACACATAGCTGCAACAGGAATATGGACTGTTTCAGATAATCCTGTGATATAATGATAAGCGCAACAATCTAACAGCAGCTGGTTCTTTGTGATAACTTTAATCTGAAAGAGGACTGGAGGAGCAGGCAATATTTTCTCTTGTTAAATTGCTTTGAACCTTCCCCTATGTAAGTCAACGGTAAATTTCTCATCTGACCTCTTTAATGTTTGCTCTGCCAGGTGTGTCAAAAGTTTGCACGAGGTCAGATGGCAGCGTGCGGCGAACACGCTGGACCATGACAGGCAGGAGCTGTGGTGCTAAGCTGTGTGCAATCTGCTTTTCAGGGCAATGTATACCGTGCCAGCCCATCGCAGCTGGCAAGTGGGAGTCACAGGCCAAGGGAGAGGCTGCAGTGCCGCAAATGCATGAGATAGTGACCCAGGGACAGGGGCACATGAAGCAGGAGCCAAATGCCCCTTCCCCACACTTGGCGTGAGAGAATTTATCAGTCTTCCCCACTGATAATTGTGTACATGTGCGTAAATACACATGGATTTCTGATATTCTTCAGAACATTTTTCTGCAAAGATCATTACAAAGATAAAAGGTGCAAGATGAAACTTGGGGACCATAGTGAGCTTTCAAACTTGGTAGAAACAGTAAAAAAGCCAAACTCCCACATTTTGGTCAACTTTTGTCATCCCCCGGGGCAGGTACAACGGAGGAGAGAAGAACACATGGGTAGGGGACAGAAGTCTTGCTACGGACAACACTGCTTGGTACCTCTCTTGCCAGAGGATGGCTGCAGTGGTGCCCCAGCTCCAGCAGTCGGCTGGGCCTGCAGTCCACTGTGCTGTACCTCCTCCCCATCTTCAGTGAGGGCAGCAGCAAAAACGCTCTCCTGTTTAGTCTAGACAGAGTAATCTCTGCTCTGGGCCAAGCAAAGCACAAGGTTATGATCTCAGCACTTAGTTCAGCTTGAGATCCCAGTGCTTAAAGGTGGTGCTTTTTTTTTTAATTTCCAACAAATACTGAGTTTTCTTTTCAAGTCACCAGGATGCCTCTGGTGGTGGTTGGTTACTTCTGGATTTCTGGGTATGTAATCTTAATCTTGTGTACTTTTTTCCTCTCTTTTATCCCTGTTTCTTTCTGGTTTAGAGAGTTACGTTGGAGGAAGGTGGGTAGGGGATGCTGCTCCAGTCTTCTCCAGGTGCACGTGTGTATGCAAAACACACTTCTGCCATAGCAAGAGAAAATGCTCCTACGAATGACCAGCAAGGGAATCCTCTGACCAACATTGCCTCTTCCTTTTCCTTGAGCATGATTTCTCACTGCTGGTTTGGAGCACTGTGTCTTCAGCCACAGGAAAGAGGACCAAAAACCGCATGCAAAGTGATATACTGCATGCTACAGCTTTTACTGTCAGAAACCAATGCTGTATCAAACAAGGAAATCCTGATACAAAGCAGTAACAAATTGCTAATAATTTTCTTCTTATTGCACAACATTTTGTTTTTCAAAAAGATCATCAAATACTGCTCCTTCAAAGTTCATTTATTGCCAGACTTCTTATTCTGGTCAGGAATGCAGGTGCCACAAATGTGTCTTCCTTGATGTCCTTTAACACCAATAATCTTGCCCTTAAGCAGAGGTGAGGTGCAATGCTGTCAGGGCACCCAACAACAGGTGAAGATTAAGTTATTACTGAAGTTCTGTCACATCAATATAGCAAGGGGACAAAGGGAAAAGATAAGCCCGCCATTCAGGAGTAGCAGGGAAAACTTCCCAAAGTTTTCCACCATTCAGTAAGAGCTCTTTTCACACAGCTTTAAGTGACTCTTCTTGTACTGAGTGCTGTAACTTGCAAATCCCTATCCTTGGCTTACTTAACTCAAAAAAAGAGGCACTTATTTAAAAAGAAGGTCAAAAAAGTAACAACTTCTAAGGCTCCTCTCCTCTTGTTTTCAGCCGAATCTATTCCTTATATTGCTGGAAACAACAGCCCAAGAAAAGTCTCTCTCTGTAACTGTATGATGAGGTTTGTGCAAAACAGCTTTTCACCTCCCAGTACTAACCCTACCGTGTTCAACAGCTACAGGTTCAGGAACTCCCAGGCTATCCTGTTTGCTGCAGGTGGGGCAATTGGTGAGAGAACTTGCCCACTGCCTGGCCACCTAACATCTTCCTCCAAATTTTCCACCTCTGTACTAGCTTTAGACCACCATAACCACACACTGCTGAGGACTTACAACCTCAGCCACTGGGTATGACACATATCACATTAGTATTCATTTATCTGCCATTTGAACAAAGAACTATCCTTTCATTACTGATCTGAAAACGTTATCCCCGTATCTTTGGTCAATGGCATAGCCCAGGAAGATCAATGGAAAAACATATTTTATCCCCTGAGAACTATGAAATGCCAAATGATAATTAATAGTCTAAAGTTACATTATTTGTTGCTCTCTTCTGCATGCAAAAAAACATAATTCCAGTAAGACCAGAGACCAAGGGCAGGAAAAGCTGGAAAAATACAACAGTGCTAGCAGACCTGGAAGAGGCTGAGACTGAATTCAGAGAGCTTGAAATAGTTCACAGATACAATAATTCCTTGTGCAGGGGGGCTGGACCTATAAGGGGTGGGAGCTGATCGGAGGAAAACCCAATTCTAACAAATTCCAGGAGAGAAATTCCCATTGCCCATCAGAGAGTGCGAGCCAAACAGCCTTAGCCACATCAGTTTTTCAACTCTCTCTCTTGCACAAGTATCTCCACAGCAGGGAATAAATCTAGCCCAAGTGACCTGGGGCTGGTAAGTTATTCATTTGTTTTTAATATTGTCTCCCTACTAGGCAGAAGAGCTCTGGCTGCATGTTTCACAGAGGAGCTCACTGCAAGAAGGTAAGGTCTTCCAATATTCCATTTTTAAACAAGTTTATAGTGTTCTGGGTGTATTATTTTGAGAACTACTGTTTTCTTAACTGAAAGGCAAATAACCTCCTGGCTTTGTTCCCATGCTAACACAAGGCTGCTTGACTGACCCACAGAGTTTATCTAACTTTTTTTTTTTCATTTCCTGGTGTGTCAAATGCTTTCTTGTAGACTTCAGATTTGAGTCCTGCTGCCTGCCTGGATTAGTTACCCCACACCAATCCAAAGGAAACAATATCCCCAAGCACCATAGTTCAGTGGTTAGAAAGAAGGCAGCAGAGAGAGATGTGCTCTGCAAGGTCTGTCTTTTCCCTGCCCAGGGCTATGCTGTGGCTTGTACCCAAAACTACAGGAATTAAGCCTAAGCCGCCCCAGCTGTGACACCACTCCAAGTTTCAACAAGAGGAGCAGACAATTTTGCCAGTCTTGAGAAAGGCAAGTCTGGCTCCTGCCCTCCGTGCTGAGGATGAGCTACACATCAGGAAGCACAGGAGGAGCATCCCTTGCACCTCGGGGCAGGGGTTGCTCTTGCCCTTGGGCCCTGCATAGCACACACAGGTGGAGCAGCGGCTCCGTATGGTGTGAGCCCTCAGGTGGGTATCCTTCCCTGCTCAATACCTCCGGCAGGTCTAGCCTTGCAAACATTGCAGTGCCTTGAACTGTCTGTGATTCCTGTCTCTGAACTGCAGATTTACGGTGATCTGCACAGACTTAGTCACAGACTTACCTGCTGCACCCTAGTCTCTTAATCTTAAGGCTAGGTGAAGGAAAGGAAAGACTAGATGGCCAATGTGAAGCATTGCATACAAATGCTTATCTTTTGTCAAGTGTTACCTTGCTCTGAAAATCATAAGCAAACAAATAAGCAAAACCAGTCCTTATTTACTAATGCTACGTATACCGGAGCTGGGTACTGCAGCCAGATATTAGAGGACTACAGTTACAAGAGAAGGTTAATAACACACCAAGGCCCTAACTCCTGTACTTTCTAGGGCCTTCTACTAAAGAGGAGGTGAAAGGTGAAGCACAGCGTGACCTTCAAGGACCTCTGTAAGAATAAAAAGCTATCATCTGCCCCTTCTGGGAAGGGAGAACTCCAGCAGAACTACCTTTTCTCAGTCCTAAAGCATTCTTGATGAATTATGGGACAGTAGCCACAGAGCAATTTCACTGGAAAGAATGTCTGGGGCTCGTAACAAAATCTACAGTTTGAAGTTACAGATTTATGACGACGGGATACAAACAAATTCCTGAGTGATATCAAAGCAGCCCACGTTACCATGTTAACTGACGGGAAAGAATGAACAAACAAAAAAAAGATAAACAATAGTTACATATTTGGATTTTTCAAATAAACTGTAACTACAAAGGAAACCTGCCCACAAGAAGCAACGTGGTTTTTTAAGCTACATGGAATTTTTCCACACACATATGGGAAAAATTCCTTTCAGAGTAAAGAAGCTCATAAAATCCCTCCAGGGATTTTCACTTTCCCTTGGCTGCTTCTGCTGCTAGGATGAACCATTTCCCC